GCTGTTGTGTCTGAGTGCGTGCGCGTTGCTCAGAACTGAAGGCTGTAGTTCATGGCAGGGCTGCGTGGTGCTATTTCTAATGAAAGAAGTAGCCTCTTATGGCTTAAGAGTTTCTACCCTTTTTCCCTGCAGGGAAAAAACGGGAGAGGTTTGTTCCTGCATTTATTGACCATCTGCCGTGCTGTGTATGCCTGTTATTGAAGGCAAGGTCAGAGGAGTTCGTCCTGTGTCTCAGTATGACACGAATGGCCTAGTTGGCACATCTTATTTCATCCTACTTCATCTCTGCAGTGACGGCATCTAGGTTGGCTGCTCTGAGCGGCTCAATCATTGTCAGCTGCTATAAATCTCCAGGCTGTTTAAGGTCTCCAGAAAGGTCTCTATTCAGTAATAAGCTCTCCGTTTTAGTCTTCTAAGCTCAGATGAGTCAGTAACTGGAAGAAGTTTGTGGGAACTCTGTGCATCCTGGCCATAGGTTTGAAATGTCATTAATTTGCTGCGAAGTCCCCCATCCTTGTGGGATTTCTTGATCCCATGATCCTCCTGTGGGGATAAGGGCCCCTTGGGGACCTGAACTCAGCTGAAGGGTCAGTGACAGCTGATGGTGATTCAGAGTTTGGTCAACATGTTCCTGTTGACCAAAAACGAATGTTGCCAATGAGCAGCTCATTGGCTTCACTTAATTTTTCTCCTTTACCCTCTGCACTTCCCACAAGCTCTACCTGTATTTGACCTTTCAACTATTGGGCTAGTAAAAAACATTGCAGTGATTTTTTTTCCCCTTTTTTCATGCCAAGCACTGTCTGTTCTGCCTTTTGCATCATGAGCTTGGCTGAAGCTGCTTTTTCTAAAAGCTCTGGCGTGTAACACCTCAAGTCTCAGAATAAGTTCTTTCTCCTCTTCTTCCTTGCCTTCTCCAGCTCTGTTCCTCTCTTATCAGGCCCTCATAAAGTTTATCTTCTCTTGTCCATCTTGTTTTCTCTTGAAGTTCCATCAAATGGGAAAAAGGCTGAGGCACAACTTAATAGCAGCCTTCTAATATCAGCAAGGTTATCGTGAAGACTGACCCTGGCTCTCTACAGCAATGAGAGGCAGAGAACAAGGGACAAGGAGCAGAAATTGAAACAGAGGTTCTGAGTGGATATATGGGGGAGGGGGAAAAAAAACCCAAGGGGACACTTGAGCATTGGAGCAGGTTGCCGAGATCGTGGGGTCTCCTTCTTTGAAGATTTTCAACATGCAGCTGGATAAAACCCTGAGTAACCTCGTCTGATCTCACTGCTGACTGTGCTTGGAGCAGGAGAGTGGATTGGAGACTCCCAAGGCCCCTTCCAGCCTGAGTTCTTCTGTAATACTAACTTCATTCTTGGCTTCATTCTCATTTTCCTCTTCACCAACCTGATCCACAGAACTGTCTTCATGAATTCTCTAGTTCACCCTCAGTTCCGTGGCTCTTCCCAGGACCTATATTTTTCTGCCTAAACTAAAATCTCAGCCTCTCGCACTGAAATCTTCCTGTAAATGTCCAGCTTGATGTACTTACAACATAATTAATCCCACTCCCATCTTCTTAAGGACAATCCATCTGGTTTCTCAGGCATCGTGGATTTCCCTACTGTTCTGCCTGTGCTAGAGATTCTCTGCTATCGTGCAACTGGCTCTTTTGTTTGCAGAGAGGCTCAGGGAAGTGGGATTCAAACAACCCACTTCAGCTGAGTCTGAGCTTGTAGAGAACTGAAAGCACCAATATTCCTGTTCATTTCAGAATATTCTTAAATGACACTGATTTCATGTAAAAATGCTGGTATTTCACTGCTCTTTGAAGGACAGAAGAAAGGGAGAGAGTTATTTTGGTTTGCTGTGCAAGAAGATAGGACAGAATTGAAAAGAAATGCATTTGGGGCCTTTCTCCATTTAAAAAAAAAAAGAGTTTTCAGGAGTCTGGAAAAAGCCACCTTTAAAATTTGATTGCAAAATGACTTGTTAATGATGAAACAAATTGCATTGCCTTCAAGCAAGTGTTTGC